TGTTGATAATGGAACAAGGAGCCCAAAATGTAGCAGCGTAGTTCGGTTAGTGGATTATCCAGATGATGATGATGAAGAAGAAGATAAAGCAGAAGAAACATCCCCCAGGGAAAGACCTTATCTCAGCAAGTAAAACCTTTATGGAAGACCCTCAACATGTGCTTCCACTAAAATTCTATTAATTTCAAGGACCTGAAAAGTCTGATTCCAAAAGCTTTCTTGTGTGAGATATACAATAGCATATATGATGAGCTTAAGAGGGTTCAATTCTGTTAAAAAGAAGACTTTCCATAACCTTAAAAAAAAAAAAAAGTAACCAGACTTGCTGGATAACTTGTTAGCAAGAAAGTCTTAGTTTGCGGGGAAACACAGGCTTCTAAAGTAATATTAATGTAGTTTTGTTTCAGGCGTTTATATTAGAAACAACTGCGCCAGTTCTTGCAAAGTCTACTTGCACAAAGGTTCTAGCCATGGGGTTCTTCCCTTCAGTTGCCTTTTTGAAATAAACGTTTATGTTTATATGGAAAACAAGTCAACTACAATAAAAAATAAAGTTATGCTGCCCAGAGCTTTCTGCAAACATTTAACAAAAATTCAGCCTGATAGATAGAGGGAAGTAACTTCCAGAGTATATTTCCATGAATAAAAAAAGCAAGCTGGATTCAAAGTGTGCACTTGTTGATCCAATTCTTTTCCTAGACAAGAGATGGCAAGGAACAGTTTGGTAGTATTCCCACAGGGTTTTCTCTAGGACCATGGGAGTGAGTAGAACTGAGTACTTTTAACTGCCTAGATTGTGAAAGATAATTTTAAGTCATTTCCTGATTCATTAATGAAATTTATCGTTCTTCCTAGACCAGAGGTAAAAGGTAAAGTGTAATTTATAAGGACTAACAGACAAAAAAAAAAAAAAAAAAACAGTGCTGAATGAAGCAGCATTTCATATCTAAAAGCCATTTTGGGCCAAGAAAAAGTTACTTAAGTGTCAAAGTCAGNATTCATTAATGAAATTTATCGTTCTTTCTAGACCAGAGGTAAGAGTTAAAGTGTAATTTATGAAGACTAACAGACAAAAACAAACAAACAAACAAAAAAAACAGTGCTGAATGAAATAGCATTTCATATCTAAAAGCCATTTTGGGCCAAGAAAAAGTTACTTAAGTGTCAAAGTCAGCATACTGCACGTGAAGTTTTTTTCTGTAAATAAATAAATGTATACTATAAAAAATACTTTATTAAAGAGTGTATGCAGATGAATCTCTAAAAATTAGTTGTAGCAAAGTGTTAACAGGATTTATTTCTAGAGGAACAAGTTAACTTATTCTATTTTTCCTGGAATTTCTTAAACTGAAAAGCAGTTTCTCGTGTTTTGAAGATTTCAGAGTTAATGTTAGTTTGTGCTGTGTAGATAGAAAGTATAGTTTTCAACAAAACAGATATTTATTTCGTATATTAAAAATACTACTGTACTTGTTTCTACCATTTGGTGATATTCATGCAGAACAAAAAAATTTAAGAGTTAAAATGTGACCTGTAATTCCGAAATTAAAAGAAACCATATTAAATTAACTATTGTGCCAACAGGAGACACAGCTTATGCAAACTAGTGGAGAAGCTACAAACAGACTATATTTCTAAGAACAACAAGCAATAATTTCATCAGTTATAGCATCTACTAAAGTGTGGACATGTCCTCAGGAGATATAATTACACATTCCAGAGGATACAACACAGGAGGGAAACTGCGTTTTAACACTTCTTAAGCCATGCTAGTTAAATCAAATGTTGTAGCGGGATTATTCACATTGTGATTGTATGTCAAAAAAAGATAGTTTGTTAGAATGGAACTTCATGATTTCCTTCTGGCTAGACTGTCATGGGGGTGATTTTCTATAGTACACATGTACACAGAGATGTGCTTTGAAAAATATGTTTAAGTCTTTATTGTGGTGGGTGTAGCCGAAGGTCCCTAGCAGAGCAGCTATTCACAACTGGAGAGAGAAGAAAATCTCTGTTTTGACATTATTTCTGTTTATTCTCTTCCTATCAGCTAGGTTTAATCTGCAATTAAATAAAAAAAAAAAAAGGACAATAGGATAAAAAAAAAAAAAAGAAGAATACTGGCATTTCTTTCTGTATTTTTCCCAGTGAGTTTGTAAGGAAAGATGAAAGAGGGCTTAGAACAATGGGATCATAAATAAATACGTAAATAAATAAATAAAATGTACCAAAAGAAATACAGGACAGGCATTCTATTGAGCTGAGTAACTTCTGTGAGCCCTTTTCTAGTCCCAGCTACCTAATGTTAGTGGAACCAGTGTGACAAGCAAAATGGTGCAAAGGCACATTCCCCATCAGATGGCAGAACCTACTATGAAGAGAACATTCAAGTGGGCAACAAAACACAGAAGAGCAATCCTTACTGTGTACACACTGAGTGAAACATCGATCAGAATGTTCCGTGTGTCTAGCTGTGGTGTGTGAGAAGAGAACCATGTCAAGAACGTGTAATTTACTAGTTAAGTTTTTTAGAAGTAATTTGAAAGGACCCTTAAGTAGGTCATTAATGGTATGAAAAGAAGCAGTTCGACATGGCACTGTATGTACTATAAACCCCAGGCCGGCATTTTTGGAGAGGTGCCCTGGACTCATCAAGGTCTGGGCTTTAAACACACAACTTCCGATAGTTTGTCTGTCTTGGCAACTTTCTGAACCCACCAGAAAGGGAGGGTGACATAACAGATAAAGCGAAAGCCTCGTATTGAGACGGCCTTTG